ATACAAAAGAGTTATCTGTACCTCTATGTTTATAGCAGATAAATTCACAATAGCTAAGATATGAATCAATCCAGATGTCCATCAATTGATAACTGGATAAAGCAATTGTGGTATATATACACAATGGAATACTACTCAGCCATAGAAAAGAATGAAATCCTGACTTTTGCTAAAAAGAAATGATGCACATGAAGATCAATATGCTCAGTGAAATAAGCCAGTCCCCAAAAGACAAATATCATATGTTTTCCCTAATTTGTGATAACTAATATACAGGGTACAAAAATGTAATATATATGGGTAAAATTGACATTATAAAATTTGATTATTTTTATAGCCTATACTCCTGAGGAACATTGAGGAACATTTTTCTACTTATTACTTGTTTAATTCTTTACTTAATGAAGTCACCAGATATATTTCTGAAAAACTCATGTTGTTGGATTAACAATTTAGAGGTATTTCACTTACATTCTTTCCTTTTTTTCAAACTTTGCACACATCTGCTCAAAACCTCTGCACTGGTAGCCAATTACAGAGCACTTTTCACAGCAAACCTTGGGAAATAATGTCAGTTTTAGCCTTCAACTCATAGCTATAGCCTCGAGTGATTAGCCATGCCATTCTGAACTTGATTTATGGAAGATGGAGGCCAATTCTCTGGCCCCAGGCCTGAATGCTGGGAATGCAGAAACCCATACTGGAAAAATTTAGTTTTCCAAGTAGATGAAGGTGATTAATGGAGAGGTTATTCTCAAATCCAGCTCCCAAGAGTGAGCTGTTGTGCTCTGTGGAACTGAAAATGGAATGCTGGCCTGATTATTCCTAGCATCAAATGATTACTGACACCATTTTGAATGTCACAATAATAGGTAAAGCAAAACAATTAAAAATCCTGACTTAATGAAAAGAAAAAAAAACTCTACATATTGAGAATACAGTTGTGTTTGTCTAATGTAGGCCAATAATTTATGGAAAAATCAATTAAGAAACATTTAAGGAAAAATTTAATAAAGCTGTTTTTTAGGCTGGTGTTGTGGCTCACTTGGCTAATCCTGCAGCGCCGGCATCCCAGGTTCTAGTCCCAGTTGGAGCGCCGGGTACTAGTCCCGGTTGCTCCTCTTCCAGTCCAGCTCTCTGCTGTGGCCCAGGAGGGCAGTGGAGGATGGCTCAAGCGCTTGGGTCCCTGTACCTGCATGGGAGACCGGGAGGAAGTACTGGCTCCTGGCTTCGGATTGGCGCAGTGCCGGCCGTAGTGGCCATTAGGAGAGTGAACCAACGGAAGGAAGAGCTTTCTCTCTGTCTCTTTCCCACTGTCTATAACTCTCTCTCTGTCTCTCTCTCTCACTGTCTAACTCTGCCTGGCAAAAAATTTTTTTTTTAAAATCTGGCTTTTAATCTAGAAAAAGAAATCAATATTTTGCTCATTCATTTAAAAATCTAAGAACAGAGAGCAAACAATATACTAACAACAGCAAAAAATAAAACTAGTAAATTAAATGATAAAATCACAGTAAATAGACTTGTTACTGAATGGCATCTTAAAAGCTATGTTAAAAACTGCATCCTGATTTTATAGTATGACCATTTGGGTTTGTGTGCATGAAAATGGGCAGTGAAAAATTAAGCCAAAACACAGGAAAAAGACAGATACACAGTACGCACAGATACCCAAATGATAAAGAATGAAATGTGGTGAAGCAAATCAAGCTATTGTCAGAGAAAAAGAGATGAGGATACTCTGAAAAAAGAGAGAGACAGAGAGACATAAAGCACAAAAAAGACTTGTATGTATAGATGAAAAGATAGAGGAAAGAGGAAAGGACAGTTAGAAAGATATACATTTTAATTAGTTCAATTAATGCTTACTGAGACAAAAACAGACCCAGTGAGATAGGGGCAGCAGATAGGGGAAGCTCTATAGTTCTCTGAGTGTGGCCAAAGTAAACCTGGCTGTTGACCATAACTTTACAAAAATTGTTTTTGAGGGCTTACTTAGTAGAAAAACACTAAAGGAGACAAAAAGGAAAATAAAATAGATTGTATACTCCTTAAGAAACTGAGTTGGGACTATGTTGGTTTCCTCTTTCCTTAAAATGATTAATTTCTTAGGAATTTAAAATAGTTCTTTCTCAACAACAAGCATGAGTTCTGCTTTGACTTTTTATTTTAAAGATTTTACAAAGGTCCTTTCAGAATTTTCCTCTTCACCTTTAGAAAGAAGCATAAATAATAGTGAGAGAGGAGAATCCCTTGTATATGCAAAGTTGCTTAGCAGCCTAATCATTGTTCTTGGAAAATTAGTATTGCTTCATTACTTGATATCTGGGAGATAGTAGAAACCATCCATGATTTTTTTTCTTTTCTAAATTCAATGTTCCTTTTTGCTTAGTTTGATCTTAGTGGGAATGAACAACTAAAGCAAAATTATAACATTTCTCACTCCCACTCTCCCAAAACAATACTAAATAAACTACTTTATGAATAAGTCTTTTCTATTTAAACCTATAACTAAACTGATGCTGTCCCCTAGAAATACAATGCGAGCAATATTCTAAATCTCCTGTAGTTACATTAAAAATTTTAAAAGATAAAATTAATTTTCATAGTTTTATTTAACACAAGTGTATGCAAAGAATTATCATCTCAACATGTAATCAATATAAAATTTATCAATGAGCTACTTTACATTTTTTAATACTTTCTTTTTAAGATTAGGTGTGTGTTTTACAGTTATAGCACATCTTAATTTAGACTAGTGACATTTTTCAAGTGTTCAATGGCTAAACATGTCTAGCGACTACCATATTTAACAACAAAAACCTACAGTGCCAACTTCTACATGTATTGTATATTGCTTCCTATTGTTAGTCTACCAGAGAGCCAAAAAATAAATCTAAAATCCTACTTTTGCTTTCTTAGTATATAAAATTGCCTTTGTTTAACCTGCCTTGTGGTGTTTGACCTTTTGGACATGAAGAAAATTAGCTGAAGTTGATATATGGAGCTGTGGAGGTACAGCTTCTTTACTTGACAAATTAACCAGTGCACCAGAGTTTTAGAAAGAAAACTCCAGTAAGAAATGGCGGCTCTGAAGTCAGCACTCCCCTGTACTTAGGTGGATTGATTAGGCTTCTCTCAGTGTTTTACTTGTATCCTATGTAGCCCTCTGTCAGGCACTTATCACTCTAGACAGTTACTTTGAGTTACTTTGAGGCCCACACCATCATTACCAATTAGTTTCTTTGACACTTAAGCATAGTGCTTGGCACATTGTTGGTGCTCAGTAAATGTCTGCTAAACAAATAAGTGAGTTCAAATACATTCACATTCTCATTTGTACCAGACACAGTTAATGTGCCCTATTGCCACTTATGGCGGTAGCTACTCTATTTGATAACATAGACATAGAACATCTCTATCATCACAACAAGTTTTATTGGACAATGTTGTTCTGGAGCAATAGGTGGAAATATTATTTAACCCATTAGGTGACAGAGAGCCCCTAGAGAACACAAAATTCATCTTACTGTGATCAAGGAAAAATACCAATTATATTAATAAGAAATAAAGAAGCAAAAGCACTAACAGGCATACATTTTAGCCTCCTGAAAAGTTCAAATGCAATGAACGCCATTGTGGTTTCCACTGGGAAAATAAATTTGGCCATATATTTCTCCCTGAGCTTCTTTCTCTATCCAAGGGTCTTCTCATCTTGATTCCCATCATGCATAATCCACACACGTGCCCTTCTTAATCTCTAGTCCCAATGTCTAATGAAGGTTTTCCTTTATTTCCCAAGCTATGTAGACAACTTCAAGAGAAGCTTTAATACAAAGGCTGGGAGTGAGGTAAAGCCAAATAAAATATAAAAATCATTAAAAACAGTGAAGCTCCTCTATGATACATAATTTCCTACATTTAAGAATTCCAGAAAAAGCAGAGAAGTGCTTAAAGAAATCCTACAATCCCTATCTAAAATAACTGGTCTTTAATGGCTGATGAGCAAACACAGTTTTGTAGGCATATTAGCTTATTCCTCTCTTCCCAGTGCCTTGCCTCAGCCAGGAGACATTTGGGGTGCCATCCTGGTTGCCAGCATACAGTAACTGGTATACCCAACTCTATGTCTCCTTTTCCATTTAAAGATACCCCTTATCGCTTCTTGGCCTTTTGGCTAAGATCAAGTGTAAAGACACCCCTTAATAACAATCAATTTCTTTAAAGAAAGTTTCTCAGTTTCAAATACTGTCACCTGCTCACACCCTTAGTTTCGTATTGAGGCCAGAGAGGTATGCCTGATTACAGCTGGCTTGCAGAACTGGTGACTCTCACCTTTAGCTCTAGTGAATGATCTAATGCCATGTCTAGCTGATGATCAGTATTATTTAAGGAAATTTACAAAGTTTAAATTCCTGGACCCAACTCTAGACTTTCAAATCAGATCTCTGGCAACGGAGACTAGAAATCTTTAACATGTATACTTAGTGAAATGATCCACCCTGTCTCACTTGGGGATTACTGATCTGTTTTCTTCATACCCTGTCAACTCTGCCCACCCACCTCTGGATTATTCAGTAAAGATTTCCCCCACCCTTACTCTGTTACTTTCCTGTTTGATAATGAAAAAAAAAATCTTAACTATATCATCCACGTAGATGTAGAAGGAAGAGGTATAAAGGAGATTTTCATACAAGCTAGTAGTTTTATGACCCCACTACTTTTCTAGAGGAATCAGATTGAATCAAACTATACAGGATCAAAATGTCCTTACAAAATTCACTGTCAGCCCAACAATAGCGAATATTCTAGCAGGATGTGTTCCTAGGTTAATTAATAGTCAGCATGCCAGCTGGAAAGGCCAACATTGAGAAGGCAAAACACAAATATAATCCAGGAAATGAGAGGCATAATTTACCAGAAATCCAAGCTGTTATTGAATTTTAAGTGTGTTTCTGGTGCTCATTTTTTGATACTTCAAACAATAATCAATCACTTACCCTTGACCAATTTTTTCAAATCTTGTGTATTTTTTCTTTGGATCTCCAACACTCACAATGCTTCCTAAGAGAGGGATGGGCGGGGATTGAGAAAGAGGAAAACGGAAAGAGATTGAAATTGATGACTGATTTTCCTTTATTTAATAATGAAAATTAAGATGCTAGTGTTAATGACAAATACAAAATTATACTAATACTCCCACATTATTTCTATAATTTATATGAAAATGATACTTTAATTTGGTAAAATAAGAGTGACATATTAATTAATAGAATAATAACCCATTCTTCTTATATCCAAAATTGATATTTGTGAAATAAAAATGATCACAACTCAACTTATAAAATTTCTCATAAAATTATATTATAGATTAGGAGATAAAACACCTAAGCTATTTAAAAATAAAAAGCAAAAAAAAAAACAAATTTAAGAACTTTTGCACACTAATAAAATCATTCTCTTCTCCAAAGAGCTGTGAAGTTGAGCATTATGATATATTTAATTCCACTGGACCAGCATCTACTGAGTTATTACTATGCATCTCATTCTGTGCTAAAGGCAATGGGAAATAGAGAATGGACTGAAGGAGAACAAAGTTTGACAGTAAACTAATGAAACTCACGATTATTAAAAATGCATATCCCTGAACCAAGGACCCCACTAGTGCTCCAAACATTTGAATAACTTAACTGAGATATGATTTGCAAACCATAAAGTTCACCCAGTTACAGTGTACAATGTAATGGTTTTTAATATATTTACCTATTGTGCAAACATCATCATGATCTCATTTTAGAACATTGTCATCATTTCAAAAAAAGAAGCCTTATCCCTATTAGCAGTTATTTTATACTTCTTCAGCTTCCCAAACCATCCATAGGCAGCTACCAATCTACTTTCTGTTTCTATAGATTTGTCAAGACAATTCTCAGGAAGTTATAAGGTACATGAAACCACTAATTTTTCATGTTTGGTTCTGAAACAAATATTTGTTTTGCTATTCAGCAAAGCACTCAGAATATGAATACTTGCTATTGCTCACAGTAAATCCCATAGAAAGGACAGTGATTCTTCAATGCAGTGATCAAACAGGTCCAGAAAAATTCTGAGCACCAGCATCATCAGGGGAAAAAGAGTGCAGCCACTCAAGAGGACTACTTTGAAGCATCATTTGTTTGTATGCCTTTGGCCCTTTTTTCTTCTTTGGAAACAAATATCAGTATACTTTTGAGTTATATCTTAGTGAAACATGGCCAAAGAAATGTAGATGGTAAGAAAAGAATTATATGCAGGAACTAATCAACAGAAGATCTTGAAATTCTACCACCTAATTGTTGCTTTTATACATCCCCTTCTCTGCATGCCCATGGCCACTGCCATTGTTCAGGCTTCAATATCTATTATTCAAACAATCGTGTCCGTCAGAACCTGCTTAAGAGACTGCCTTCTATGGATTTCTTTAGGTTTCCTTCTCAATTTCTTTTCCAAAATGTATTTTGCATATGATGACCACGTAATTTTTTCTGCTGAGACTGTCCTGGACAAAGTGTAATGCACCAATACCCTACTTCAGAATGATTTTATTCTACCATTCATAATCTCTCAGAAGTTCCTCCTCACTATAGGATCAAGCCCACATACTAACCAGGGCATACAAGACCGTTTACCATACAGCACCATTTGGCTACTACCTAACCAGTGTAATTTCATATTCTTCTCCTTTCTCTCTGTCTCTCTGTCTCTGTCTCTCTCTCTCTCTCCCGCTCCCTCACTTCCTTCCTATGCTGGATCTTAGTGATCCTATCACTTTTCAGTATTTTACTTTTCAATCACTTAGGTCTTTGCATATAATTCTTTTCCTGCCCTATCTAACACATGAATTATTATGCTTCATTTAAACATGAGAATATTTTAAACATAACAATTTGATCTCAAATTGCCTTCCTTTGTGAAGTCTGCTCTGATGCTGCTAATGAGAATTACAAACTTTGTAAGGGCAAGAGCTTTGTCTTTTTATTCTTATAACTTCTGTTCCTAGACAGTGGTTGTCACTGAAGTAATGTTTTTTTTGACTAAATGAGAATGAGAAAATATGTATTAAGGTATCCAACTGGCTGGTATAGACAGTATATCATGCTAATTTAGACAATGAACTACTTTCTGCGCTAGTGGACAATATAATTCCAACCTTGATATTATATAGTATACTGTGAAAAAATCAGCTAAATATTTTGCTCCTGGATTATTCCATCAGGTTATTGGCATTTTACATTTTGTTTTTTGTGGGTTTTTTGTGATACAAGTTCATGTTTGAGCTATATTAACCAATACTTAGCTAATATATGAGTTGTTACAATATTTTTCCTTTGTATTGCTAATCTTGGTCAATGGTATCACCAATTTATCTTCTCATAGCTTGATTCAGAAATCTGGGAGTCATCTTTGATGTGTTCCTTACCATCATTGCCCACATGCAGTTGTCCACTGAGCCCCGGGCCTGTGTTTATGTATTAGACATCATTAGGATCTGTCTTCCTTCATTATCGCTTCTTTAGCTGAGCCTTCATCATCTTTTGCCTTGGCTGTTGCACCTGCTTCCTAACTTGATTCCCTAGACTCTGCTCACTCTAGTCCAGGCTCCACATCACTATCAGGACACTCGAAGTGTAGGGTTGATTATGTGATTCTCTGGTTCAAGATTCCCTAATACCTACAGGAGAAAGCCCAAACTCCACAGTATGGAGTACAAGGTTCCTGATGATCTGGCTTCTGTTTCTTTTTCCATCTCATGTCTCACCATTTTAGTACTAGAACCTTATGTTCTGACCATAACAAATTAATTGCAGTATATGTTCAGCTCAAACTTAACATTCAACTTCCTCTCCTACAAATTCAGTGTCACCCTTCATCACTGACTCTTTATTAAAGTAACCTTAAATATACTGGAGGTCCCAGATATATGTCTTTAGGTCTTCTTTTTTATTTATTTATTTATTTATTTTTGACAGGCAGAGTGGACAGTGAGAGAGAGAGAGAGAGAGACAGAGACAGAGAGACAGAGAGAAAGGTCTTCCTTTTGCCGTTGGTTCACCCTCCAATGGCCACCGCGGCCGGCGCGCTGCGGCCGGTGCATTGCACTGATCCGAAGGCAGGAGCCAGGTGCTTCTCCTGGTCTCCCATGCGGGTGCAGGGCCCAAGGACTTGGGCCATCCTCCACTGCACTCCCGGGCCATAGCAGAGAGCTGGCCTGGAAGAGGGGCAACGGGGACAGAATCCGGCGCCCCAACCGGGACTAGAACCCGGTGTGCCGGGTGGAGGATTAGCCTATTGAGCCACGGCACCGGCTTTAGGTCTTCTTTACATGCCATCCTCTGCCTGACAGGTCCATCTCATATTTTCTTCATGGCACATCATTTCTGTTTGTGTTTAAAAACTCAGCTTAGATGATGTCTCTTCTAGAAAGACTTTCCTGACTTCTTTGAATACAGTTAACAAAGTCCCTTCTCTGTGCTACTGCTGAATTCTCTCTTTTTCTCTCTTTTGCTTTAGCACTTGTTCTCTTTCTCTGTACTTAATGTATCAAATATCTATCTTTTTGAGACTCCCTTTTTGATTGTGTGTTAAGGACAAGAGTCACAGCTTATTCATCTTCATACCCTCAGTGCCTCCTCACAGAATGCTGCATATGGAATATATCAGGTACTCAATAATTGTTGAATTAGATACAAATAAAATTAGGCACTTTTTTTCTAAATGTCCCAGAGTTTAAGACAGGGGTTGCAGAATGTATTTTACTTGAGCTATATCTATAGAATGCCATCAATTTAGCAATTGCTGAGTTGTTATTTTATTTTTCAAATCATGTAACAGATTTCCACAAAGCTGAGAGCCAGTCTTATCCATATTAGTTATTAATGGGTAAAGGTCTGTTTTTTTTAGTGAAATGATGATTTTAAAATCACTTGAAACTATCATTTTATTCAGTTGATCTTCAGTATATGAAGGTAATTGAAAATGAAAATCGATGAAGGGCAGGATGGGAGAGGGAGTGGGAGAGGGGAGGGCCACGGGAGGGAGGGAGGTTGGCAGGGGGGAAGCCACAACAATACAAAAGTTGCACTTTGTAAATTCACATTTATTAAATAAAAAAACTATATAACAAACAAACAAAAAAGAAACAGAAAAAAAAAGAACTTAATACTTTACCCTTTTAGTATTTTTTATGTTCTACTTAAAACTATTGGTTGAACTCTGTAATTAATACACAATTACTCTTAGGTGTTTAATTAATGCTATAACTAGTACTCAAATAGTATTTTACACTTTGTGTTTCTGTGTGGGTGCAAACTGATGAAATCTTTACTTAATATATGCTAAATTGATCTTCTGTATATAAAGATAATTGAAAATGAATCTTGATGTGAATGGAAGGGGAGAGGGAGTGGGAGAGGGGAGTGTTGTGGGTAGGAGGGAAGTTATGGGGGGGAGCTATTGTAATCCATAAGCTTTACTTTGGAAATTTATGTTCATTAAATAAAATAAAATATAAATTAAAAAATCACTTGAAACCATCATTTTATTCAGCAGTTTACAATCTTCCAAGAGAGTTTTACCCTTAGTTGCTGAGCAAACACTTTTCCAAAGACTGAGAAAAAGCAAATAAGCTTCAGCCCAAGCCACTTTCTGAATTATGGCCAATTCCAATTGGCTGGGTTCAGTTAATGAGGCTTTATGGCAGTAAATTATTCAAGTTTATTTCCATGGTATGCAGAGTTAAAAGAAAAAAATACTGGAAATAAATCTTTTCACAAGGATTACCAAAAGACAACCATTTTGATGAGATTATGCTTCTGAATTGAACTGCTATTCAAATAAAATGGCGTCCCCACACCCACTATCCTTCACAGAAGAGCATGTGCTGCCATCTACTGATGCAAAGCAAGTGTACACAAGACCTTGCTTACAATCCTCAGCCACAAGACAAGCTTTTAAAGGCATCTCCTTCATCAGAACCTTTATAATTTGCTTTCTTAAATTATGTGGAGGAGAAAAAATTATTTTGATGCAAAACAGGAAAACGTGAGGAAAAAATTAACGAGTCAAAGTGAAAAGGAGAAAAGATAATATGAAAGCAACCCAGAATGACTTCCTACCAGAGCAATTCCCTAAATGAGAAACAAACCTTTCATTTTTAATTACACGATTTTAAGAAATCACTAAATACTAGTAGTTGAAAACAGGATTCCTATGGTGGTTTCAGTGGCAGAAAAGTCAATCAATAGTCTCGCCAATTTATAAAATGAAGCTCAACTGCCACCACAAAAAGATTATTTCCCTTAGCATAATGAAGGTTCTGATTCCTGAGGTGGGGGGACTCCTTCTCTAAATCAGTGTTAGTTCTATCTGAGAGTCAATCAGGAGAAAGAGCGCTGAGTAGGGAACGTTGGGTGGTGGAGAGAGCCAAGAGTAGGTGATCGTGGGGCCCAGAGGAGGGAAGCCAAAGACAAATTTCCTGCATTGCACAATTTTGCTGACAGCGCCTTTTGAAAATGTTCAGGGAAATGCAGGGGTTTCTTTACTTTCCAATAGACCCAGACAGACCACAATGAACAAGCCAGACCCAGGCTATCTGTCTGTGTAAAACTGAAAGATGATCTGTTCATTTCAGCCATTAATGATCCCTTGGTCAGGGCCCCTCAATCGGTATCTGCTTGGAAGATGAATAGCCTGGCGGCTCTGTGGTTTCGGTTGCCCCCTCCTAGTAATCGGATCCCTGAAGCTGGAGGTAAGGATGATTTAGGAGGGGCTGCATTTCCTCTTCTTCATGCTTGTGGGGTCCACTCCCATATGAGTTGCTGGCCTTCCCTCTACCACCATGCCTCCCTTCTTCCTTTCTTTTGCCTCTCAGCACAGGCTCCTCTCCTATTTCCTCACACTTTGATGGAGTCCTTGATTTCAAGGTCCTCAATGACTTCAGTTCAGAGACCATATATCTGGAATTATTCCTGGTTTCAAACATTGTGTTCCAAAGTTAAGACCTTATTCTCTTATTTTTTATACTGAAAATCTTTGTCACTTTCAGTTGGTAAAAATAGCATAATAACAATTTTATACCACTGTTTTATAATGTCTTTTATATTTTAACTAATTTAGTCTTCACTAGCCCCTATTATATAGGTACAATTATTATCAAGTATCACTACTTTTCAGATGAAGAAACTAAGTTCAGAGAGGTTAAGTAACTTACCAAGGATACATAGCTAGTCTGTGCCCACGACTCATTTAGTTATGACTCACTTCAAAGCTTGTCCCACCATATTATCATATCAAGGCTTTGTACTCATGTAATAAAATAATAACTGCCATTTACTGAGCACCTACTATGTGTGAGGTACTGTTGCTAAGTTTTTGCATACATTACTTTCTTTTAAGAATCATAATGGTATGAGACTGCTTTTATTATTATCCCCACTTTTTAGATGAGAAAATGGAGGCTCAGAAATAACTGACCCAAAATAACACAGTAGCCATGGGTCAGTGATTTGAATTTGGGTGATCCAATATCTGTCCTCATATCCATAGGTTGAACTCCCTAAAATCTATCCTATAGGCAAAATCCAAAACTAGTTATGATTCTTATCCCCATTTGACAGATAAGAAAGCAAGACTCAGATGGGTTGAAAGACTTGTCTAAGGTTACTCAGCCTACGAGTGGCAGAGAGAGGAGAGAGGGGATGGCAGTGGAGCAGGAGCAGGAGCAGGAAAGCTCCACTTCACAACTGTACGTGGGGTATAGTTTAGCCTGGATCTGCTTTATGAGGAGCCCTTTGTCATTCCTCTGCAGGTTCTACCTGGCGAGGTCCACAACTCCCAGGTAAGGTTGGCAGCACTGGTGGTTCACTGTCTAGATGGGGAAATGATTCTCTTTAGGTCAAAGCATAAAGTCCAATAGAGAAAATGATCAGTTAATTCTTGATTAAAAATATAATCCCAGTTAGTTTTCCCCTCTTCATCATGGTGCTCATAAACAACACATATAAAGGCCACTGCTCCAGCACCATGACGGTCTGCAAGCAAAACAAGATTGTGGCCTCAGAAAATAATGTCTGTTTTCCTGTCAGCTAACTTACAGATAGCAAATAACAGTCATTAATAAACACATAGGTCATATTTATGGGCACAAAAGGAAGAGACTGAGGTGGCTGTCAGAATAGTTGAACTAAAATTATCAGGCAATTCTTTTATTTGTTCCTTTCCTTTTGCACAGAAAATTGAGGGTATGCAGAAGTAAACCAGGTAATGCAAAAAGTGTCAGCCTTGAAAGCAAACAGATCTAAGTTCAAATTCTGGCTCTCTCACTCATGAGTTTGGTGCCCTGATAAAAAGCGAGCTTTCGAAAGCTTGCTTCCAGTGATCTGTAAAATGAGAACATCAACGTATACCACATAAGAGATCACTGTGAAAATTAACCCTGGTAATGTATGTGAAGTAGTCAACCCAGAAGATACTCAAAAAATAAAAATTATTACCATTATCATTGCAGCAAGTAGTTGGCATTAGAGAAATATTTAATCACGTTTGCTAAAGTCCAGCAATTCTAGTTCTGAGTGCTCACTGACAGTTGCAACTCCAACCTTTGACTTCATCAACATGTATTAACCTTAGCACTGCTGACATTTTGGGCTTAATAATAAGTGAGGGGAGCTGCCCTGTGCATTGTAGAATGTTTAGAAGCACCTCCAGCCTTTATCCACTAGATGCCAGTAGCACTCTGAATGATGACAATAAAAACTCCAGATATTGCCAAGTGTCCCTTGGAGAGCAAAATGGCCTACCCCTACCTTTGCAGTGCCTCCTTGTGGCCTACAACTGGAATTGCTCCTTTCCTTTCCTGAGGTCTTTTGGATGAAAAATTTGCATGGAATGACAGAGGCTCTTTTCTATTCTTTAAGTGCATCACACTATTAAGTTTCACTTTCCAAACAAAACTGCAAGTTTCTTGATGTCAGAGAATTATCTTTCTGCTGTATTCTCCAAAGTCTCTTGCATACAATAGACTAGTAGGAGTTCAATAAGGATGGATTTGTTTGCTCAGTTTCTCATTTATTCACACAACAGGCATTTGCTGCGTGCCTTTTATAGCAGGAACTTACTTGGAGGCCAACATCTAGGGCAAAAAATACAAATTCCCGTCCCTTGAGAAGGTCAGTCTAGTGAATGAGACAGACTAGCATGGTGTGATATGCTATCATAGCATGATATCATGATATCATGATATCATGCTATGATAAAGACAATAAAGAAGAAGAATGGTAGTAACAATACAGGCTTTCCTGAGGAGGCAACTTTTGAGAGTTTTGAAGCATGTGTAAGAGTCAAACTAGGGGCACTGAGCAGTGATATCTAGCCATTTGTTAGATGTTTCTGTAGTATGAGTTTAATGAATATGCATTACAAACTTTTGAATCTTCCTTGGAGAAACTATGACTTGTCTTTTTGACACATAAAATTAAATAGGAGGCAAATGTTTTCTAAAACTAGGGTGGGGCCAGAGTTGTGCTGCTGCTTTTGACACCAATGCTGGCATCACATATAGGTGCTGGTTCCTGTCCCAGCTGCTCCACTTCTTCTGATGCAGCTCTCTACTAATGGTCTGAAAAAAGCAGTGGAAGATGATCCATGTGTTTGGGCCCCTGCCAGCCATGTAGGAGACCCAGATGAGGTTCCTGGCTCCTGGCTTTGGCCTAGCTCAGCCCTGGCTGTTTGCAGCCACTTGAGGAGTGAACCAGTATATGTAAGGTCTCTCTCTCCCTCTCCCTCTCCCTCTCCCTCTCCCTCTCCCTCTCCCTCTCCCTCTCCCTCTCCCTCTCCCTCTTCCTCTTCCTCTCTCTCTCTCTTCTGTCCCCCTTTCTGTAACTGTACCTTTAAAAATAAATAAACAAACCTTTAAAAAACCAACTAGTGTAACAAGTAAATGTTCACAAAGGACACAGGTATGCATGCCTATATGCTTAGAAGACACTGTGGAAGGAGGTTGCTAGTATTTGCTGCTTCCACCTCCCTCCTCATACAGAAATGCTCCAAAATTAAGGGAAAGCACTACATTATTTGGGGCTGCAAGTCTTGATTGATTGTGTCTGGCTTTATGGTTGACTTGTCTTTCACAACTGATCAGCTGAGAACCTTTAGTGTATGGGTTTAATATATTTCATCAGGCTATTTTATCACTTTTGAAGACACAATCCCAAAATAAAACTTACTAGTTAACCGAGTTTGCCAATTTTCACCTTAACTGACTTTTTCAAGTGAATATGTTTAATTTCCATCAAATTAGGTGTGTGAGGGAGGAAGAAGCAAGCCTGCATATATAGAAAAATCCCAAACTTTCCATCTCATGATTTCAGGGCATCTGGTTTTCAGACAAGTAGATTAAAACTTCTAAAGGATCAATACTCATTCTAAATGATTTAGATGAAACCCTCCATGAAGAATGTAATGATGGTAAAAACTCACTTAGCTTCTCTAGGATCTCCTCATCAGTCATCTTGGATTTTTTCCTTTGCCGATCTGTGTTCCTGTACAAAGTGCTGGAATTGGCATTCTCAGCGGAAGGTGGTGTGACCTCTTTGTTTGGTGCTGCCGGTGAAGCAATGGATTCAACCACAGAACGAGTATAGATCTACAAGAAGAGACCAGAAAGATATATGATTAAAACAGTGGCCAAAGAAAGCGTATGGAGTCAAGGCACTGTCATACCAATGAATAGAAACAAGTGGTTTTCTATTTTTTATATACTGTAAGCAGCTTTAAGCATACTGCCCTTGAAAGACCTTAGGAGCTAGTCTTTTGAGGTGCCTATACACAGCCTGTGAATTCTGATCTTGATGCCTGTACTTATGAAATTCTTCCTACCTGCTTCACATGGATTTCCTAACCCATCTTAATTTATGTTATAGTTTTAAGATTTAGCAGTTATTTATGTATTTTTTGGTATTGTTCTCTAATTTTTATGTGCTAAACTGATACCTTCAAACAGCAACCTCAAACACTGGATTGTATCTTATACTCTGTTTCTGGGAACCTGCGAGATGCCCAGTAAGTACTTGTTAATTAACTACATTCTAACTCTATGACCCTTCCAAAGCACACCTTTTGAATCATTTGGAAATAGTCACTTGCAACTTACTGATTTTGTATGCTCTGGTCTTGGTGCAATAACGGGTGGAGGCTCATTGTCGTCTTCTTCTTCTTCCTCCTCTTCATCTTCTTCTTCAGACACAGGAGGAGCCAAAGGAGGCTCTGAAGCTGTTTTTGTACTCTTAGGACAGAAATAAAGTTTAAAGATCACTTATTAACTCCCCATTGTTTTTATTCAGGAATAAGACAAAGAAAATGAAATATTTAAGCATGTAGGGAGGGATAAGAGGCAATGTTTTTGCAAATTAACAAAACCAGGACCTCACGTTCAGAGATAAATGCAGGTCATGATATAAAGGACTATGAAATCTAATGCATTCTTTTTAGTTTTTGCTGTGCTCCAAATCAGTGAACTACTGACTGAATATTTTAAAGCTCAGGTTTTTTTAATCAGTGAATGTATTAAAAATCAAATTAATTGCTGTCAAGGCCTTGGATCTATACTGGGCAGACTGTCAATTTATTGATTGATTGTCAATTTGAAAAGAGCTACTTTCTGCCTAATGAATACAGCATGCACTTGCATGTTGTATTAATATAGCTCTGCAAATACTCACTGAGAATAGGCAAATCTATAAATATTTTCCCTTACTCAGCCTCCTGGAAAGGAGCATTCAAGAGCAATAGACTTAAAGATCTAAGGAATACTCAGCTACATAAATAATTGCTCGGTATTATCTAATAGGTAAATCATGATTTGCAATGTTTTATAAAGTGTGACAACACCACCAACAACAACAAATACAAGGACCACCTAACCTAGTGACACTTCTTAATCATTCATATTAATACAGGGGTAAAAATAGTTCCAAAGTTGGATTTGGAAGAACTATGGCCATGACTCTCAACAATTCTCAAAGTGTGGTCCACAGATCAACATCATGAAGGAATTTGTTAGAAATGCAAATTCCCAGGCTCCATTCAGATCTAAGACGCAGAAACTCTGGAAGAAGGGTTCAGCAATCTGTGTAATAAATAACAGTCTTCCTGGGTGATTCCGATGTATGTTCAACTTCAACAATTACTCACTGCAGTATAGGTCTGCACTGTCCAAGATGGTAGCGAAGTAGTCAGATGAGATGACTGAATGCTTAAAATGTGGCTAGTCTGAATTGAGATGGATTGTAAATGTAAAGTACATCCCAGGTGTTGCATCCTTTTCAAAGAGATTATTTATGTAATGCATTTGCAAGGCTGAGAGAAGCACACACAAAGACATACACATACACACACACACAGAGAGAGAGAGAGAGACAGAGACAGAGACAGAGACAGAGAGATCTTATCTTCTGGTTCATTTCCTAAATGCCTGTAACAGCCGGGGCTGTCCAGGTTGAAGCCAGGAGCCTAGAACTTAATCCAGATCTCCCATGTGGGTGTCAGGAGCCAACGACTTGAGACCCATCGCTTGCTGCCTCCCGTGGTCTGAATTAGCAGGAAGCTGGAATGGAGAGCAGAGCCAAGACTCCAACCCAGCCATTCTGACATGAGATGCAGTGTTCCAAGTGGCAGTTTAACCAATGTACCAAACACCCACCCTGAAATACTATATGCTTAATATGAAAAAATTATAAAATATCTCATTAGTGCTTTTTATGTTGATTATATATTAAAATGATATTTTGAATATGTAGGGTTAAGTATGTTATTAAAATTGTTTTAATTTATTTCATTTTACACTTTAATGAGGCTACTAAAAACTAAAAATTATATATGTGATTTATATTATATTTCTGTTGGACAGTACTACTACAGTTGGTTTTCACCTTTTTTTTTGCTTCTTGTGATTTATTTATTTGCTTTTGTATCCTATTAGGTATACTGGCCCAAGGTATTCTTATCAGGAATTTTCACTCCATGAGGACAAAGTTCTTAAGAAGTTATAGGGAGCCTATTAATAGACTATTATATCAAAGGATCTCAGTGTGTGACTAAAAATTCACTGAGGATTTTATTTTTTAAATAATTTTTATCTGAGAGGCAGGGAGAGAGGCAGACAAATAAAGGGAGAGAAAGAGACAGCCACACAAACAGAGCTCTTCCATCTACTGGTTCACCTCCCAAATGCATGTAACAACTTGGACTGGGCTGGGCTGGAGTTGGAAACTCAATCCAGGTCTCCCCTGGGGGTGGCAGTGAATGACACAACCATTTGAGCCACTCAGAGTGCGTGCCCATTATCAGGAAACTGGAATTGTGAGTGGAGCTACCTCGTGGGGTACCCATTAGCAGGAAACTAGAGTTGGGAGTAGAGCCAGGACTTGAATGAATATGTAGCCTTCAGTGGACAGTATGCTTTGGATTATGCTTGGGGCAGAGAGCATTAACTTTCCAGAAATACACATAGATCACAACTGGTCCTTGATACTAAGGACTGAAATTAGCATAATTTCCTGACTCTTGTATTAAAAAAAATACTGGGAACAGACATATTTTGCTATCCCTATCTAAACACTGACACTGAGCATACTGTTTTTCCTAGGTTAAACAGTAATTGGAACATACGGACTTAACTGTTCTCATGCTAAACAATGTTGAGAATAAGCAAAAATAATGTAGCTTCTCACTTTAGGAAACACTCGTTCCTGGAAGACACTGTAAACAGCTAAAGTAGTTTACTTAAAGAAATGCCTGACTGTATCAGTTTTGCTGCAAACTTTGTTTTACATATTTTACATATTGTCCAACAAACTGAAAGGAATTATTTACTACTATAGTTTTAAGGATTTTGTGACTACTTTAAAATTTATTTTATGTGAGTAAAGTTGAACATCTTTTCCTTTGATTATTGTATATAGCCCATGCCTATTTTTCTGCTGGACTATAGTCTTTACACTTTTTATTTGTAAAGCTGCTGCCTGCAGTGCCAGCATCCCATATGGGCACCAGTTTTAGTCCCAACTGCTCCACTTCCAATCCAGCTCTCTTGGAAAGCAACAGAAGATGGCCCAAGTGTTTTCGTGCCTGCACCTGTGTGGGAGACCTGGAGGAAGCTCTTGGCTCCTGGCTCCTGGCTTCAGATTGGCCCAGATCCAGCCATTGCAGCCATCTGGGGAATGAACCAGCAGATGGAAGATTCTCTTTCTCTCTCTCTCTCTCTCTCTCTCTCTGCCTGCCTCTCTGGAATTCTGCCTTTCAAATAAATAAATCTTCAAAGAAAATATTTTAATCAAAATTAGAGATTTCTGATACTCTTATTATGCCACCTATTGAGGAGGACGAGGTAGTTGGGTCTTAAATTCTTAAAATTCTGAAGGGTTTGGATTACCTCCCCAGAGAAATACATGTAGACTCGTGCTTTCACATATAATTTCAACAGTTCATACATCTTCTGAAGCCATCCTTGGATTCTGAGCTATGAACCCTGATCTAAAGAATGTATCAGCTAGAGGACCTACCTTAGGCAACTCTCCTTTTTGAAGTAAAGTTTTACAGGTCAAAGGAATTATAAGTAAGCACTTTGAAGACTTTAGATAACAAAAAATGTGGTTGAGGGGGGTCACTTTTGGTGTTTACAAAAAAAGGCAGATTTCAGGGTTCCATTCTAGACATACTCCAGGAGTAGATCCCTGGAATCTGCATTTTAACAGATTCCTCAGTCAATTCTGATACACTCTAAAGAAAAAAGGAAAAAATAAACCAGCACTGCAAATCAAAAAGGAGCAATCTCAATAGCACACACAGTCTCTTTAGTGCAAATCATGGCATATTCATATCATTGTTGTTGTCTTCCACTTGGAATACTACCTCAAGATTGTAAATACATAATTCCATCTCGAACAGTAAACTATAAATACAAAATTAAATACAAAATTGAAAAATTAACCTCAAATTGAAGAGTAAGTCTTTTAAGAGCATTTGGAATTTAATACACTAATATCAAAGAAGCTACCACAAGTGAGCCAAAAATAGATGTCTTATGATGATAGGAAGTGCTGCTGAATCCAATAGTAATCACATAACCATCAGTTTGAAACATTTACAGAATACAACATGGCTTCTATTTTAATTCTCACCCAGGCTACTAAAGGATGCCAAAATGTATAGAATCAAAATGTCATAAAATGCCTATGACATGGGAGTCAGTCCTATTAAATTAGTCCCTGTAGAATTGCCAGGTCTATAGGGAGTGATTGTGCCACAAAAAAGCATGCACAGTGTAAAGTGTACTCTCCCCCTAAAACCATAAAGAAAACACAAGTTGAAGTTCTGCACTCTTAAGTAGCCAAATCCCAGTGAAGTGATTTAAACTGAACTTAAGAGTGAAATTCAGTTCATTCAATTGTTAGCTGCCTAGCCTCAGAAAAGGAGTTTAACTAATTATCTCCACCTGGAATTCCTACCAGACCCTTAAAACTTAAACTGCCCAATATAAAACTCAGTATATTCCCACAAATATCTGCCGCTCCTGAAAGATAACATCCCCATTTTATCCAAACACATATTTTAAGCCTGCAATTACCTTTGATCTCAACCTTTCTTCTAACATTCAATTACTTTCTAAACATCTTCAGAATTTGAGCCTAATCTCCAGTCCTACTGCCAGTATCTCACTTCAGGCCAGCATTACCTGCATGACTGAAATATTCCCCAAACCAGTTCTTCCTTTCTCTAATCTCACCTCCTGTCCTTAATTCTTTCTGTGTGTTTGCTATCAGATCGCTCTTCCCAGAGCACAAGCTTTAATCATCGAACTCTCCTGCTTTGAAATACTTCAAGGACTTCTCATTGCACACAAGAAAAGCCAAATTCCTTAGAATACCATTTAAGTGCCTCTATGATTTGTCCCTAACTTAACTTTCAAGGCTTAACTTCTAATATTCCCTTTCTTTGTACCTCAGTCTTCATTCAAATCCATACCTCTTATCCCCTTGTGCTCACCAACATGTCCTTTCTTATGTTTTTCATTTTGCTTAGAATGCCCTTCCATATCTTCACAAATCCAAATCTCATCTGACCTTCAAGATCTAGATCAAATGTAACCTTTTAGATGAAGCACTTTCTAACATATCTTTCAATAAATATATGCCAAATACATATTTGGTAGTGGTCACTGAGCTTAAGCCCTGGTGGACAGTGCTTGCTTCCTCCTCCCCTTCTCAACCTTCCTCTCCAGCTAAAGGCAATCTATTTTCTCCGAATTCATGTAGAAAATGGACATATGCTATGGTATGTAATACTATTCATATCATATTGTGCTTGCTTATTTTCACACTTACTTTCCTCTAACAATTTAAGCTCCAAAATTCCTAGAGTTTCTAAGGAGGCACTTGACAAATGTATGTTAAATAAGCGCATTTCTAGTTGTTATATTTCCAAACAGTGACATCATTTTTCTCTGATTTAAAATGGAATATTTTGGTCATTATGTAGATTTACTTCTAATTCCATAAGTAAAACCAATAGAAACATTCTCAAAAGAAAGAGTTTATATCTTAAGAGAAAACAAAAACCAATACACAAACCAACTTACCAGGCTGGTATTTAAAATAATCGGCCGATCTGAAAAAATCAGAACTATTTCTTTGCTGGGATTGCAGCAGTATGATATGAATTATTTCAAAAGAGGTAAATTACATATGGATCATGGAAGGTTGACATTTTTAACTTTCCCACTTTCCTATTATCTCCCTTTTTGTGCTGTTTTCATTGTGGCCCAGGAAGCCATCATGCCAAGGAAGAAGGAAAAGGGGAAATGACCAGTCAGATGGGAGAACCACATTCTGTTCTGTTTTGGGAAATCAGAGCAAGCACAAGTACTATGACCTCATACAAGCCTCATGTGTGCAGGAGTTTTTCTCTCTGGACAGCTATAAATAATTGTGATAGTTGCTTACATTTAACCAATACATATTATATGCTAGGTACTATATGACAACATTATATGTCTGATCATATTTAATATTCACCTAAGTCCTAGGAAGTGAGCATGGTCATTATTTCTATTTAAAGTTGAGGAAAGAAAGGCTCAGATAAGCTCAAATACTTTTCCAAAATCACACGGTAGTCAGTGGAGAAATAAGATTTAAACACTTACATGCTGAGCCTTCATCCTTTTTTTTAAATTTTAAAATAGAAAATTGCAAAATAAAATTATGTAATTATGCAAAACATACATAATATAAAAATTTACCATCTTGGCCATTTTTAGGTGTACATTTCAGTAGTGTTAACATCCATATTGTTGTGCAACCATCACTACTATCCATCTCTAGGACTCTTTTTTTACCTTCTCAGATGGAAATTCTGTATCCACTAACCAACTTCCTCAACTCGTAGTGCCTGGCACCCACTCTACTTTCCAGCTATAGAATAAATTTGACTCCTCGAGGTATCACATACAGGTAGAATCATGCAATATTTGTCTTCTTATGATTGGCATATTTCACTGAGCACAACGTCCTCAAGGTTCATCCATGTTATGGCATGTGTTAGAATTTTCTTCCTTTTTATAGATGAATAAGATCCTACTGCATGCATACAGCATTGTGTTTCTCTATATATATCTGTTGGTGGACACATGAGTGGCTTCCACCTTTTGGCTTTGTGAATAACATTGCCAAAAACACAGGAGTACAAATATCTCTTTAAGATCCTGCTTTCACTTCTGAGTATAAACCCAGAAATGGGATAGCTGGACCACAAGGTAATTATACTTTTAAAAGTATTTTAGGAACTGCTATACTAATTCAGAACATTATTCTTTGATACTAATGATCTACTATTATCACACTGGCCACCCAGAATGATGTCAAGCAAGCCAGTATTTGTCCTCAATAAAAAGGAAAGATCACCTTGATCATCCATGACTGTCTGAATAAACAGTTTGGAGACTTTCCCCAATGCTTGTTATTTTACCTCTATGGAGGAAAACAAATCAGGAACAAGTTCTATCAAAATATCAAAATGAAAACCACAGAAAGGGAAGCCTTTTCTGAGATGATTTTTCTGTCTAATGTGTATGGTTATTCTTTCAGGTACTCCAGTACTTCTAAGTATAGATTACATATTTTCCAGTCACTTCTCTACATGACTTCATATCAAATCACCTTTTTCCCTGTACCTCAGTTTATTGGTGCAGGTGACATTAAAAGGTGTAGTGCTTTGACCTTAAACAAGTTATTTTAACTCTCTAAACCTCAGATACTTCATCTGTAAGGCAGGAGACAATGGTAATTGAGTTGCAGGAATGATTACATGAATACAAAATTATTAGCCATACTGCACCTTGTATGTGTAAACTAATTAGGAAAAATTGCCATTAATATTATTTTCACAATTCTATATGTAAGAGAAATAGAAACATTTGTCTACATAAAGTCTTCTATATGAATATTCATAGTAGCTTTACTTACAATGGTCTCAAAGGGAAATAGTCTAGTGAATCTTCAGTGGGTGCATAAACAGTGACACAGTCATATTATGGAATACTCAGCAATAAAAAGGAACAAACTATTGACAAACACAATGACTTGGATGAATCCTAAAAAAATGATTCTAAGTGAAAAAAGTGCCAGTCCCAAAATGTCACATGCTATATTGCTTTATTTCCATGAAATTTCCAGAAAGGCAAATTGATAAAGGCAGATTAGTGATTGCGTGTGGCTAGGGTAAGGGGTGATTTGAATTAATTGCAATTATGTATGAAAGATTTTATAATAGCAGCACAAGTGTATAAATTTATTAGAACTCATTGAACTATACCCTTAAATAGGCAAATTTTTAACACCTAGATTATATCTTTAAAGACTATTTTTATAGGCTTCTGTATCCAAAAACTGGAGTTGTGTAATTATGTTCTCTTAGATTTTAGGAAACATTGATCATAAGAAACAGTTTTCAATTTTTCACTTACCGAAGGATGGGCTGCTATGTATCCATGGGCACTTTTATCTGGAAAATGAGAATAAAGAGATTACCCTTCTTTCATAAAAATAATCATTTAGAGACCATACTAAACAAGATGCAAGAAAACAAATAAAAAATGCTGCATGCCTTGACCAAAAGGAAAACCTCCAATTTAGTATATTGTGATAAATGTCAGAGTTTTTCTTAAAATAACTCACACCATTATATCCTCAACATACTCTCACCAGGTCATCTTACAGATCTCAGTGAAGGTTCCCAGTGAATGTCGTCTATATGGAGGAATGTCAAAATCACCTATTCCTGATTGATATGATTCTGTATACCTACAACCAGGATTTACCCTCCCATTCCCTCCTTCCTGTTCATTCCTTCCTTCCTTCCAACCTCCCTATCCTATTAGTCAGTCTCAACAGTAGAATGTTCAGAGTCACTGTGCACTTATTCCCCATGTAGGATCTCTGTCCTAAATGTGTTGTACTATGCGAATTAATGGTAAAACTAGTATTCAAACAGTACTTTATACTTTGTGTGTTGAAATATTTACTTAGTATATACTAAGTTGACCTTCTGTATATAAAAATAATTAAAAATGAATCTTAATGAAGAATGGGATAGGAGAGGGAGTAGGATATAGGATGGTTAGCAAGTGGGAGGGTGGTTATGGGGGGGAAACTGCTATATTCCAAAAGTTGTACTTTTCAAATTTATATTTATTAAATAAAAGTTTTTTTAAAAAAAGAAAGCACATGGTGAGTTTCACTCTGCAAAGTACAATGCAAAAATTCAGATATTGTTCAGTTCTAACATAGTTGTCAGGCTTTCATCTTTTTAAGTTATTTAAAGAATTCAGTACACAAAAATCAAAATGTTAAACAGCAGTGGCTACTTGCACTTGAGAATCTGAAGGACATAAATGGTTATACTCAAATGATTTCTTAAATACATTTTCAGTTCTGGTGGCCTATGTTTCTAACTTGAAGCATGGCTCTTGATTTCCTCGTATTAAATATTATTAAATATATTTAATAATACATTATGCTATATTAATGTTATATTATTATATATAATACATATTTATTATATAAATAAATATAAGAACAGCATCTGGTGCTCTTAGACATTTGATTGCATATGGAAATTTTTTTAGGTTTGCAACATTGGAGGATGGCAGTTAGGCAACCTCATTATAAAAAAATCCCACTTAAAACATGAATGTCTATTTGCCTTCAAATTTAACCTTTGACATTTCATATGGCCAAATTTTTCCCCTTCCATGTTATATACTGGCACTGTTCTAAAGGAAACTTCAAGCTTGACCTATACTAAATCCAGTGCCAAGAGGTGGGTGCTCTATAGCTAGGGTAATATTGACAGTATTTCCTTCTTTCTTTAGATGCTAAATAAATTATTCTAGATGGATAACCCAGATGATATTTCTTAAAATGTAAAAGTACAACATGATATATGTTTTTCAGGTGCTTGTAGTGCAAATTTAAACATCAAGACTCTTTACAATAGCTAGGTATACACCCTAGCAAATGAAGTCAAGATTTGGTGGTGGCATGACTATTTCAATCTCTGTAAATAATAAGACATTATCTCTTTTCTTTCATCTGATTTTGGGATCTGATCAAAATAATCTAACAACCACTGTGTCATCATAGTATAACTCAATGGATCTAAAGGTTAAAATAAATTTCAAGAGACCATGGTTTGATCCATATACTTCTTATTAATGAGTGTATTACAGGGTCAGGGTCTGATCCTAAGTGACTGAGTGCTTTATGTCAGTAAATACACAAAATAAAAATTCTGATTGTTGATGCAAGTTAATAGCTACTCCTTCACTGAATAGTTTCCTTATTTGGGTTTTAAAAACTTCCAACCTCAATATTCTGGTTTATTTATGCTGAAGTCATTTGGAAAAGGAATTAGAACTCACTTTAAATGTTCTACAGAAGTTTTGTTCTATTCATGCACCTCCAAGATTGAAATTACTGTACTGCTTCACCTTTTGATACAATAGGCTTCTTCTTACCTCCTGATGTAAAGCTCATGTATTTCTGGTTATTGACTGTTTCTTTGGAATCATAGAACTTGAGAACATCTAGAACAGCTTGTGGGTTCTTCTTCTGTTCCAGTTTTGTTATGTTGGAAGTTTGGAGTAATCGTGCCCATTGCTCAGGAATTCCCTGTGGACAACCAAAGGGAAAGAATGGCAGGTCAGAACATTCAGCAGCGACATTTTCACCTTCCAGTAAAGTTCTTCACCAAGAAGCCCATGCTACCTGTAGGATTACACTTGGGAAACTGAAGTTACATTCTAGATTTAAAGTTAGTAACGTAATAATGCAATCATTCTCTTCTCTAATTAAAACACATAGGTAAAACTAGGATTCAACTTAAAAAGGGTGGGTGGGAGTATGACTGTGATAGAAAAAAAAAAGCACATGAAAATCACCTCCATATTGACTCTGCTCATCCATGAAATGATGTTTACAGCTTAGCTTATTTTTTCTGGTGACTCAGGGCAGACATAGCAAGACTTCTATAAATTTGTGCACAGCATAGTATCGTGCAGATCAATGAGTTTTATATGATTGGAATAAAATAAGCTGCTTCTGGGCATGTTGCAATTAGAATGACTTTTAGAAGAAAAATGAAAGCCTCACCCTTGGTAATTTTTGGGTCTAGAGCTTTAATGTAAATAAAAGAGGATTGGGAGGAGATATGAATAAAGTTGTGGAGGAGCAATAACCACTGAGATGCTAAGTAGTAACATTAATGCTGCATGGGGTATTTTCCTTGCAGCTTTCTCCAGGCCATGCGCTCCTTCTCCTCCCTCTATTCCTTCCTCCCCACTTTATTCATTGGCCATATAGAACCTGGGGACTATAAAAACCACGCCAAAACCGTGTGAGAATTTGCAATAATCTGAAGCATTTAGAGCACAGAGGAGGGTGTATTTGGAAATCTAACCAAGGAGAATTGTGTAAAATTACACAGAGAGGTTAGCTTTGCATTGAGTATTCAACATTCTTTCCTACATGTTCAGCCTAAAGACCTCCCAGTTTCATAATTATCCAACCTCCAAGAGCAACTTGGAGAAAGAAACAGACACACTATTCCTGAAGTGTGTCCAAACACAATTTCTGTGGCTTTGTCCTATGAAGTCTCGGCAAAACAATGTGTGACGTGGGCCTCCAGAGTTTGGGAATGACAACAAAAAAGTGAGATAAGCCAAGCAACAACTCTACTGCACACACATGAACCTGCTGCTGCAGTGCTATGACATCTCAAAGAAGCACTTTGATGCAAGCTTCTTTTGGGCCTGTGACGCACCTCTGGGAGCTTCCCTGGGCACATCTGTGAGCCATAGAGATCTGGCTGTAATGGACGTAAATAAAGAAAGAAAAGAAAGTTAAAACAGAATGTGGGACAACTTAGAAGGTGGGAGGAAATGAAACCAATGGGTCTGAATGGGGGGAGGGGGAATCCCTTCTAAAGTGGGGCGGTTATGAAAATAGGGAGGCATTAACTAAATCAGGGACAGGACAGGCTACAGGACAACAGATTTAGGAGAACAGAGAAAACAACAATGTTCCAAAGTTTGGATGTATAATTCCACCTTTGGCCAGATGCTTCCTCCATATATATACAATAACAAGGATTATCATTACTAAAAGGCAGGAATGTGAATTTGGAGGAAAGAAGGATGGCATCATGAAAAGCTTCAACAATAATTTGTAAGTTGTTTTTATAACTGGGTGATCACAGGTAGCCAATGGCCATGTGATGAACTTACAAATTTCAGTTCCCAATTCTGGTTAACCAATTTCGTTTTCACATTGGAAGTGCCTATGTGGCTAAAATTCAAAAGATGGCTATATGGCAATGGTAAATTTTTGTTCTCACTGACATGATTCTTCTGTTCTTTGTAGCTAAAGTCATGGCTGGAGTAGAGGAAACTAGGTAAGGACATTCCCACACAGCCAGACTGTGCTTAGGTTTCTCAGACATTTAGTTCAGGGAAAGGGAAACCGTTTCATTTCAAACCATACATGAATAATTTCCATCTCAATGCTGCAGTTCCCAAGTCCCACTTCCCACAAAATATGATCAAATATTAGGTAACAACTTTGTCTAAATACAGATACCTCAATCACTACAGAAACATGCTTTTACCCAGCTGGTTTGATTTGGGATATACTTCCTTGGTTCCTGGCATTTGGAGTTACTCCAAGCACAGTGGAACGACACTTTTACATGCATTCATCACGCAGTTTGATGCTAAAGCCTTAAGCCAAAAATTTGAACTCAGGAGCCCATGCATGATCCCAGTTCTGATTCTAAGTGCAATTAATAGCATTTGGTTAATACTGTAATGGCCAAAGGAGTTATTAAGTGTTACAAATTCAGGTATGCATTGCACATAACCACTAAAGCAGACTTCACTGGCATGTTCATTATCACAATCATTGGACTACTTGCTATTATTAGACATTCTCATGGCACTTCTAAACTTTTGTAATAAATACTTGTGTGATCACTAGACAGCAGGAAATAATGCTGTCAATTACAAAAGATTCTCCAGACGGCTATACTTACCCAAGTGACTACACTGCTGACATAATTTCTTTTTTCTAAGTAGAGACAAACCAGCTCATCAATGAAATCTGACGCTTAAATTTGAACATATGCCACAAAGGCACATAATCTGAAAGCCATCTTTTTACTCCAAATTAAGCCACTAATCCCAAAAGTTAGACAGCTAATGGAAACCTAGGAATCTGAGCATCAGAAGCAGGAGCACAGATCAATGCCTGACCATGTATACAATAACAACTAGATGTACATCAAGCTAGGGATTGTCCAGTGTAGCCCAGGAGAATGGCAGCATGATATAACAGGCCAAGCATTTATCTTATCATAAGAAATGATAATTTATATCACTCATACCATTTTTCCCTCTGATTGACTTGAAGCGACCGTCACAGGTCTAGAGGTCTGGAAAGGGGAGTTCTGAAGTATTTGGGACAAAAATGGCAATATAAAGGGTAAGGACTTGTAATAATTTAATACCCAAAATCTCACCTCCCAACCTAAATTTAGCTTTAGGGTCCAAGTATATGATCAGGTATGCAAGGTTATATGGGCCCATTAGCCATAGGGTAATCACCAAGCAACACACCAAGTAAGTGTCCAAGTATGCAAAGTAATAAGATCTTTTAAGACAACTGAATTAGACAGTTCAACAAAATCACTCAAAACTCAACCTCAACCACCACAATAACAAAATTTAGTAACATGATCCCCCCACCCAACACACAACAAACTAGTAATATTGCAGCAATTAGGATCCAATTCTAAATTCTACCAATAAAATGATTTTTTTAAAGTTTATGATCATTTGGAATTTTAAAAGTTAATAAACGTAATAGTATCTATCATATGTTAAGGTGATTTTTTAAAATGGGAATTTGATGTCTTTAAAGGTAATGTGTAGACAAGTCACAAAAAGTCATCAACATAATAATAAAATGATTCCAATTTCCAAAGTTAGCTTGTGTCAATCTACATACTCCATAGTCAACGGCTTTCTAACAGCTTCAAAACAGCTGCTTCATTTCAAATCGGCATTTGGGGAGTTGTTTGGTCTTGGTTCAGTTGTATCAAACTCTTTCACGACTGGAAAGACTGCTCATCACATGTACCACCTCACCCTTCTGTGATTGGTTCTTTAGATTATAATTGTCAGCAAGGTGAAATTAGTTGGTGCTGCCATCAATTAGATGGTGGTGATTCACTTTCCTTCATGTCCATCGAGAACACAGAAAGAACAAAAAAGGAGCTAAAGATAAAGAAATTATACCATCAGATATCTAGTAAGTTGGGAAAATGGTCAGAGTAAAACATTTAAAAAGAACCAAAATGCCACATGAGATAGTGAGAGAAAGCTTTCACTTCAGAAAACAAAAAGGAAGAAGACAAAAAAAATGAAAATATGGAATGACAACAAAACTTAAAAGAAGTCTAAACAGAAGAAGAACACAGAGAAAACAGGTCAAAACTGGAAAGATACTGTTCTTAAAATAAAAAAGGGAAGTGTTAATACATTCAACTTTGATAAAGTTTGAGGGCTTTTCCTGCTACTAATGTCAGATATAGTTATAATCTCTTTGTTCATTATTTTTAAATAACATGTATTCAACTCATAAAAATTATGTTATCTGGTGATAATGATGGTAGTAATGTTCATAATGAGGTTTTAGTTTCTATGTGTAGTACCTACAAGAATATTCTGACAATAAAATAAAGTCTGGGCTCCAACTCCAAGCCATTGAAATAATGTCTTTGATTCCAATGATGAAATCTTACCTAACTCCCTATCTCAAATTTATCAGTCTCAATATTTCTTAGTGTTCATTTCCACTTACTACTGAGAATATGGAAAAAATCAGTTCACACCATTTCACATGGCCAATCCTTTTACTCAGTTTCAATTTCATTCTCATATTGCTTACATCCAGAGTTGAAAAAAAATACTTTGGCTGTCAATTTAGTGACATGGTTTACTTCTCTAAATCAAATTACTTTGCTCTTTCTCTTTTTTCACTTAATCATATGACAAAGTCTCCTCACTAACCATCACACTGTGAAATAGAAAATTAACTATTCAGTATCTGATTTAACAACCCAAGAATTAATGATGATGGTTCTATCAATGATTGTTTTTCTAAATGCATTCAAAATTACTCATTATTTCAGGATGTACATTTTGATTGAGTTCCTTACTACTATGGATAAAGGCAGACAACCTTCCTGGGGACATATTTCTAGCCACATCCTTCCCTTCAAAAATCTAAAAAACAGATGCCAGATATAAAATGGTACAAAATGCCATAGATCTAATATCCTATACTAGTTGGCCACTACCAATATCCAAAAGAAAGACTTGACATATGGCAATGGTCTATCCAAAGGGGAATATATATATACACATATACATACATACATATATATACACCTACACACACACACACACATCACATAATCCCTGAAGAACATATGATATACCTATCAATATTTCTGAAACACATGGTTTATTGTCCTAAATGTCTATAAAATATACCTATCAATCATTCTAAAAATAAGCTGTTTTTGAAACTAAATGGAAAAAAACAGGTCAATTTTACAGAGAGTTTAAAACAGGTCAATTTTACAGAGAGTTTTTGTTAGTGTGGTTAGCTGATCTGGGTATTCCTGTTTCCATGAAAAACCTGAATTATTCAGATAGATTGTCTTCCCTAGCAAAGTTTAGGAGATGATTCTTTGATTCACTTTACACAAAAAAGAACAGGCTCAGGCAGGGTCTCCATGTCATTATTACATTGTCTGTGCCATGGCAAATTAATCTTTTCAATGAATTTGAAGAATATAGTGATCAGGCATTTGTGTTAAGATGGACAAAATAAGTTTTCCAATGTTGTTGCCACTCTCTATTTCCGTCTATGATTGTGTAGCTAAGTCAGCCTTGCTAGTAATCATCAAAAACTTCAAATCTGATATTTTGGGACATGACAGTTGTGGTTTGAAATTTGTTTTCATAAAGGAACTTATTCATGGCTTACAAAACAAAATAAGGAGCTTACTTACAGTGAATTCCCCGGTGACTGCATCAAACCCCACATGAATCGTATGCTCAAAGTCTGAAGGAAGAGAGATCTCTGGGCGCTCTTTCTCCTTCTTCTTATTGGCTAAAGGCAAAATGTTAAGATGCATTTATTTGGGGTATAGTTAGCGTCTCAAAGTTGTAAAGTAGCTCATCAAAATAATTACAAAGCTGAAAGACATTTGATTCCATCACAATTTTAACAATACATAACTCCAGAAATTCCAATTTTATTTGCAATAATGGCTGAGAGTTCGACAAAAAAAAAAGTTCAATGAATCCAAAAAATTCCCAAATACATTTCAAATAAACCTCTGTTCATACTGCTTTACGCCCTTTATCAGTATAGAGGTGTAACCACCAGTTGTCTAATTATGTTTAGCTGGATTTGCTGGATTTACAGTCAAGTCAAGCTAAGGCTTACTTTGAGGAACAAAGGATAGAAAAGCACTTGAGCTATCAAGGAAAATGTCATGAATTGTTTCCATGTTAACTTTAGCTAAATATCAAGTACTTAGAACTTCTTTAATTTACATATTTACATTATGAAGCATCTCTAAATAGACTCTTGGTGTTCTTTAAACAAGTATACTAATGCAAATCATTGATGTTAAAAATATTTCTTCATAATTAAAATACTTAAAATAATTTACACCCCATAATTAGCTAGGAAAAATCCCTAAGGCTTGGTGCTTTTTTACCGAATTAATTTTTTATTTAGTTCTTAGAAATGTCAAACCAGTGCTTTGGATTAGTCTTTCTAGTATGTAGCTATTGTCCCATGTCCCCATTATAGTCTATTAGCAATTCAATATCATTGTCCTTCCCAAGTAGCACATTTTTCATAGTGACAAAATTAGGAATAACTGTACTGATAGTTAATAAGTCAAAAGCCTTTAAAGATATAATCACTGGAGAAATTAAGTTGGGAATTATAATGAAATTGCTTTATCTGGAAAGAGTTCTCAGGAGGAAGTTAGTGTGGAAATATTCTAAAATAGTATCTTCCATAAGAGACTTTCAGCAGATTTGAGAATGTACCTCTAAAACTATTTCACACTGGAAAAATAATACTCATGCTCTAATACTGGGCAAGTCAGCATGAATCGGGTTTACCCAGTTGGAACTAATCAAATTCAGAATTGCCAGCGTGGCCAAGTTAGAACATTCTGGTTCAAATAGATGTTTCCTTAGCCTCAATTACAGACAACACTCAATCATATTTGGATTACTGGTTTTGTGGGTTACCCATGATAAATTTTAAATTTGAAAATTTTCACGTTCAAATGCTATTCTTATGGTTTATTTCTTTTTCCATCCTCTCTCACTAATCCATGTTGCCAACCTTTATGGGGTGAAAATATAGAAATTCAAGTGATGATGGTAACTATACAAGATCAGGAAAGAACTTTTAGGGTGGAGCGCAAGAGTTATTCAAAGATTTTGCCTTTTCATGGAACACATTTAGGACTCATTTTCCATAGTATGAAAATTTTTTCATAATATGTGGAAAATTAATATTATGAAAAAACTTTTTAAAAAGATTTATTTATTTATGTGAAAGGCCAGAGTTACAGAGACAGAGAGATCTTCTACCTACTAGTTCACTCCCCAAGTGGCCACAACAGCCAAAGCTGAGCCAGGCTGAAGCCAGGAACTAGGAACTCCATCCAGATCTCCCATGATGGTGGCAGGGGCCCAAGTACTTGGGCCATCTTCCACTGCTTTCCCTGGCACATTAGTAGGGAGATATATTGGGAGTGGAGCAGCCAGGACTTGAACCCACACTCATATAGGATGCTGGTGCTGCAGGTGGCAGCTTAACCTGCTGTGCCACAATGCCAGCCCCTTACGCATGGATGTTTTTTAAGTGCACCAAAATAAACATATTTTTAATTTTAATTTCCATGAATTTTTGAAGTATATTCATATATGCCATCTAACTTAACTTCAGTACAGATTTCATTTTCACTATTTTATTAATATTATCCTGACTAAACAGTGGAGTTTTAAAGGTATTTGTTGGTGCTCCTACTTCCCCCACATGTCTGTGTACTGTAGCTACCATTTATACTTGTTCAACTACCACTTATTTGTTTAGAAAGGTAAACAGACCAGTCTTCTGTCTTGCCATTCCACTGAAGGTGTCGTAACTATTCCTGCATTCTTTTATTTTTTTTTCTTGATCTCCCATTCATTCTGGACAAAGTTAACAAGCTCTCTTTCCACTTCCTTGACAATATGTCTGACTTGCCTCCTCCCTCAGTGACCATTCTTTACTTGATTGTCATTGTTTCTCTTCCTTCTACTTTTCTTAATACAGTGTTTGGCCTGCAATGAATGTTGATTCATTTCTCTTGAATTGCATCCACCCTCAGATACTAGCCAATGTTAGGTAATTAATTCCCTAATTAGTGATTGGTAGAGGCAGATGAAGATATTGCGGGAATCGACACTTTATGTAATTTGAGAGGAAGGCTCCCATGAAGTTAAAGTAATACAGTATCATAAATAAAATATTACTAAGGCCCCTCCCAGGGCTTTGAAAGTGTCCTGGACTCCCCATTAAGAGTCCCTACCTAAACATCTATCTACAGTCTTTACATCAGTTTCCATTCATGGCTTCCATGGCCAGCAAAGAAATTATCTCACTTCTCTGTTTAGTATTGGTTTCACATTTGTAGCATATTGACTTAAATGTAAATATTCCACTTGGGCTGAGTTATGTACAGAATTGGCTTAATGGTATTTCCCAAGATTACCTGAGTACCTTACAGCCCTAATCATGCCATTGTCATCACTCAGGGCTTCTTTCAGAGGAAGGAATCCCAAAATTGCTCTTCTCAGTGCTCCTTTTTTAGGGAAATGATACCACCTACCACCCAGATTACAGAAGGAATATGGTCTTAGACTTCTCCTTTTAAAGGCTCTAAGCAATGAAAAGATAATGATCCCTCTCCTTCAATATCTAATTCAAATCCAGACTAAGGCACAAAAAGGTAAGGAATGCAAATAAGCTCTGATGTTCCCACGGTAATTAATTTGGGTCTTTTTTATTATTTTTTTATTTTTTTGACAGGCAGAGTTATACAGTGAGAGAGAGAGACAGAGAGAGAGTTATAGACAGTGAGAGAGAGACAGAGAGAAAGCTCTTCCTTCCGTTGGTTCACTCCCCCAATGGCCGCTATGGCCAGCGCTGTGCCGATCCAAAGCCAGGAGCCGGGTGCTTCCTCCTGGCCTCCCATGTGGATGCAGGGACCCAAGCACTTGGGCCATCCTCCACTGCCCTCCCGGGCCACAGCAGAGAGCAGGACTGGAAGAGGAGCAACCGGAACTAGTACCCGGCGCCCCAACCGGGACTAGAACCTGGGGTGCCGGCACTGCAGGTGGAGGATTAGCCAAGTGAGCCATGGCGCCGGCCTAATTTGGGTCATTTTAAAAGTTACATATTCAAAATAAAAATGTTTCCATATTTTGGGCACCCTTAATTGGTTAGATGTCATAAGCACATGCTTACTTTGCCTTTTGAGTAATCTGGAATTGGCCCAGCTGTCCAAATCAGAACTTTGAGAGTCATTTTTTACTTCTTTATTTCTATATTAATTGGTCACCAAATTCTCTCTGTTCTATCTCTTCAATTTGTCTTGAATTCATCTCCTTCCTTTCATCTGCACGAGCCACTCTCCTAGTCCAAGGTATCAGCATTTCTCACTTGTTCTCACTGCTTCCAATTTTGCCAAATTCATTTCTCCTGTCTATGACCATATCATATTCTTGTCTTTAAGATCCTTAAATTACCTGTAAAACTCATGCTCCTTAACATGATATCCAAAAGTTTTCCATGATCTATTCCTAGCATCTCTCTGCAGCCTATATTCTTGACATAGTCCTGACTATCAGTATTCATGCCATGCTCCTTAAATGACCTGGATCTCTCTTACTTCCAAGATTTTACATATGTTAGGCCTAGGCCTGGAAAGACTTACTTCTCACCCTCTCCCCCGACTTTGTGTGGAGTACTTCCACTAGTCCTTGTTCTTGAAGACTCTCTCTTGGGATTCCTCCCCTTTGGCAAATTTTTTCCTGTATTCTATCTTCAAAGTTGAAAGTCCCTCCTTTCATTTTCCCATAAAACTACAAAGTATATGTTCTGAGCTAAGCACTTATAGCACTGAATTATTTCTTCTTTACATATCTATCTCTCTAGCTAGCATTTGGGATACTTCAAAGCAAATACTGTTTTATTCATTCTCACATTCCTCAGCACCTGCCTTGGATCTGTACACTTAAAAACTATCATTTTTAGGAAACTTGCCATGGGTGAAGTACTTCTAGTGTTAACTCATTTAATATCCACTACAGTCTTATAAGGTTTATCTTATTATTGTTGTTTTATAGATGAGAAAAAAGACGTAGTGGGGTTTAAGCATATATCTAGAGTTACACAGCTAGCGAGTGACAGACAGGATTTGAACCTAGCACCATGCCGTGTCTCTGGAGTCTAAGCTCTTAATAGCTACACTATTAATTTTTCAATAGCATTTAAAACAAGAACAGATATGATTCCCAGCCTTTAGTAAATGTTTAGTGATTTAATGGAGCCTAGATGAGAACTGATTTTTGTTTTATGTTGTTTTGTTTTGATATTTAGGCACACAAAAATGTCTATCTCCCCAGAAAATTCTGCAAACACTGAGTATTGGGCAGACAAAATTCAGCTTGATCAGATCTGGGTTGATGTTTGCAGATAGCAGAAGCTCAAACATGTATCATTTTTAAAGTCTACCTCATATATTCCACTGAAACTCAGAACAAGTCCACACATTGTTGACTGGACCACATACTTAATGACATTTAGCCTTGGGACTCTAAGTATATATGAGTTCTGGCTGTACCTCCAGGGGCCAGATAATCTCTCAAGTTTCTCATTTTGACATTTCCTCTATTCTACTATCATGTAAAAGAAAGAAAAGCCCCCTATAGTCATTTATCATCTACTATACATCTTACCTCAATGTGCTCTGCATTTCCTATAGCGTTTAGTGCTGATCTTGTCATGAACAGTTTTTCCCCTACACCTTCAAT